AGGCTGCCAACTACCCTGAACAGAGCTGAATGATGCACTTCTCGGCTGGAACAAATGTGGGAAGTCTCCAGCTTCTTCCATGCCATTGGAAGTGAAACATAAAGAAAGGCCATGAATATCCTATTACTTAAATTCCATACTAATACCCAATTTCTAACCACAGCTATTTATCCACATAGTTTGATGATTTTAGGAGAAAGTTCATAGCTTACCTTCCATTTACAGGACCACTTTACCAGCGAGGAAACAGCGGTTCATATTTGTCCAACAAGTCCATGAAGTTACGCAACTTGTAGGAAGATCCAGGTCTCTGATGTCCAAGTCTGTTACTCCAGCCACAAGCAGAGCTACATCTAACATACAAGAAACCTGTGGGATTCACTGCAATTAGCTACAGCTCCAAGAGCTCAACAGTTCTCCGCCGAAGTAGGTATTTTTATGAATACCAAATTTAATCTAAGACATTCTCATTAAACTAAATAATATGATTGTTTCCTCTACCCACCCATATATAGACATTTAAGAAGGCAAATCAGTCCCAGGTATCTGGGGTTATGGACAGATTCCCTTTGTTGAGTCAGCTAGTGACGCCTCACGATGTGTTGTGTCCCTGCCCTGCCCTCTGAAATGTAAATGAATTGGTTGATACAGGCACATCTGTATTTTTTATGAAGTATAATAATTTATGGTCTGATTTCGGACATTAGGTTCCGAGGCCAAATTCATTTAGTTTTGAAAGCATCACAGCCAGTTATAAAGCTGATAAACTGGTATTAACATTACAGTTAAAAAGACTTATCTGATGTATTGTTAGCCTGAAGGCACATACAACAAAGACTTTTATATCTAACCTACATATACAATACAAAGCTCTAGTAAAATATTTTCCTCTCAGACTTTTGCAAAGTATCATATTGTAATTTTCATTTAAATTTAAACTACATTCAAAATTGAAGTGGTGATCTCCAATGACACATCACCAAGATAGAACAGCCCGAGGCAGGAGTAGCTCCAATAAATTTGGCCTTTTGGGGGAGTTATATCAGAGGACATTTCAAGAGGATGTGCCATGTTTGATTGCACTGTGGCTGCACACCTCTGACTTGCAGCAAGCAACAGTTTACCAGCAGTTTTAGAAGAGGTGGATGTAATGGCTGTGTCTGAGCTTTGCAAGCCAAATGCCAGCTGGAAAACCAAATCTGCTTTATGTTCACAAATATATCAGAATTTGAGAATGCACACCTATGCAGTTTAATTTATTATTTTATTTATTACAAATACTTTTACGTTATTATTAAATAATTTAAATTTATTTAATATTGGTTCATTTTAGAAGAAAGGCAAATATGTAACATTAGTTTTCAAAAAAATCAAGTTTTTGTTTCAGGAGGGAAGCATGACCGATGTTTGGAAGAGAAAAATGAGCCAGCCTGCTCCAGCCCACGGACTCACTGCAATGCCTTTACAGCACATTTGACTTGCCCTGACAACCTAATTGCATTAGAAAAGTGCTTAGAGATCTTCAAATGAAGAAATATTCATAACTGAAAAGCATTTACTGTAATGAAGCCCCTTAAAAGAGGCTCTGCATGCTGCAGCTGATCTCTAGTATAAGTGTAATTGCACTGAATGTTGTGGAGTGTATTTTTATTCCTCTTCTGCATACATTCAGTATAATTTTCTGAGTAAAACAAACATCTGTGCACAGTTGTGGAGGTGGGATTTTACACTATTTATAGTGGATGACCTTCAGTTTTTGTTTTTGCCTAGCAGTCTTACAAAATACAAGCAAGTTACAACCCAACCTCACACTCTGACCTTTTAAAATTTACTTTTAAAAATAGAGGTTATCTTTTATGCTGCAAATTATGCCTTTATCCGTTATAATCCCATAAGTCAGATATCACAGTCCCACTTCAATTATGCTAAACTCTTATGTTAATTTTAAATCATGTAACTTAATTCCTGGCAAAGCAGGCTGGTGATTTTCAAAATGTGGTTAATGAGGCAAAGTACAATCTAGATTCTCCTATTGAGATCATCTGAATCCCTTAGGTTGCTGAAGATGACTATGGAGAGGCTCTTCTTTACAAAAGTCTGGGTTAAATTTTCAAAAAATGAATTTTTAAGTGCAGTTTGGGGCTATGAAATTGGAAGTTGAGCATACAAAGAAGTTAAATTACTTTCACTAGAACCGTAGAACAACAGCGCAGCTAAAACAATTACACTTCTGTGTGCATGCTTTAAAGGCTTTAAGTACTGCCCTCCCCTTTTAAATCACAAATGCAAACCGTACCAGATTTTCAAGATGACAATCCAGGGACCTGATGTCTATGTCCACAGATGCATGCAAATCAATGTCATTTTCCTTCTCATTTGCAGAAGCCAAACATTTGGTAATAACTTCTTTCACCCCCCCTTGACTCAAACAATAGCTTTGTCTAAGACCAGTTAGTAGATGAAATCTTATGAGACTGTACAGTTTTTTCAATACAATTGCATCCCCCCGACCCCCAAATCTCTGTCATTCCCTGATCAGATAGGCTGAAAGTTTGTCACTAAAGCAAGCTCAAGGTGAAGCTTAAGTTCTTCAGAGACTTTGTCATTTAATGTTATTTATTCCTCTGAATTAAATTATTCATACAAAACTCACCTATAAATTGGCCTCCATTATTTATTAGCATGTTAAACTTCTCTTCCTCATACGTTTTTTTGGAAAACATTGGTACATGAGCCATTTTGTTGTCCACAAATTAACAATTAACACACTTCCACTACAGACAAGACATACAAAGCTTAGTGTACATTCATTTTTATTTAACATCTTCAACAGCCTCCCTACAAGGCAAAGAGAGATTCATTCAGTATTTGAGGTGGGAATTAATACTCATAAGAGCAAAGGATCTAGAGAGCTCCACTGTGTCCATGGAAAAGATGCTTTTTAGACCAGGGTCAAATCCAAGTGAAAACTAAGACAGCTTTCACATGAGTTAGGAGGTTGGATGACACAAAATCAAAACTCTGGCAGGAGTTGCTCTTTAATGTCCTAATGCATAGTGTCACTTTGAGAGCAACAGTCACAAACGTGCATGGCCAAAAAAAACGCCAACTAAAATGTGCTTGGTAAAGACACATGGGAACTCAGTAACAGCCACTAACTGGCATGGTCCACAACACTGGAGTGGTAGTGTACTGGTGTCCAAGATGATAGCGGCTACAAGAAACCAACTCTCCAGCATGGTACCCTGGGGACCAAGCCCTGGGCTGTGGGGTCTCCCCATGATGACCTGGGCAGAGTGGTGCAGCTCTGGTGCTCCCTGCTCTGGAACAGAGCCCACAGGAAAATCCAGAGGGATTTCTGCCAGGGAAGGTGGGAGTCAGACAACATCTTGAGTCTAAAGGGGGAGATTTAAGGACACATTGTCAACCTGAGGAAAGGCATGCATCAGGGCAGTTCAAGGGTTGGATAGCCTGTCCCAAATGCTTCTGGAGTTAACACCTATGGGTCCGTTTAGGCACAGCAATAGTTCACACAAGTAACAGTGTGTGCATTTACCTGTCCAAGGCATCCCTGCACTGCCTCATTGGTGCTGAACACCTGCACCTTTCTGCACCTCATGGTAATGATTGTTTCTGGGCTTTTTCTTTCTCCTCCTCATTGCTCCACAGCCCCAGGGAACAGGCTGGCTTCCACTAGGAGTGCTGATAGTCACATACGGCATCACCTCTGGCTTGGGTTGCCCAGTATGCTTTACCTTTCCCGCTCAGACTGGCTCATGCTGCTGCACAGAGATGTGCAGAGCGGGTTCAGCTACACACTGGTACTGTGGAGGCTGGAGGTGGCTTTTTTCCTCTTCTGAGGAGAAAACAGAGGGAAAAACGAGCAGCAAGGGTATGCAAGAAATAGTCTCTCCTTTCAGCAGGGACCCACAATTACTCCCGTGGAAGGATTGAAGCCATACATTTGCCTGAGATGAGGGAAAAGACAGCAATAGCGCTAGTTGTGAGCAGTGGTTGGGAATGGAGGAAAAGGACGTTTTACTTGCATCAGTTTCTGGTCAGGCTGTTTCCTTATTCTACAACTTGCTGCATCCAGACACTGGAGTAAGGTGCCCCAAACCACTCCAGGAAGGAAAGAATAGGTGTCATCTTTATTCTGGAAGAGCATAGATATTTCTCCCTATCAATTTTGCAGAAACTTTTCTTCCTCTTGGGACATCCTGGCCACCCATCCTACACCACCATGCAGAGCTGTGGATTGCAGGAACAACTGCATGCATTGGTCAGACAGCACTTGAGGGTGTAGAGGAAAGAGGAGGAGAGAAGGTACCTTTTCCTTTTATAACCAGGTCTGTGAGACTCCGGACACAACTGCCTCTAGGATGAATCAGCAATACCCATCCCACCATGTAACACTGCAGCTTCCACCCCACCCCTAGGGTTTGCTGGCTGCTGACAAGACAGGAAGAACAGCAAAACACAAGTGACTTCAGGAAGCTCTGGGGACAAAAACAGTCCATGGGTTTGGGAGGCAACGGGCATACACACCTTCTGTGCAACAAACTGCTGGGAGCTGGGAGACCAAGTGTTATCACAGCAATTGCAATGAAGTTGCTTCTCAGAACCGACCTTATAATGTCCCATAGCTGCCACCCTAAGACTCTGCCCTATCACTAAAGATGAAGACTATCTTGAATATTTGGACCACATTATGCATCACGTGGTTGACTCCACTGTAAATGAAAAATGTTAATTTTAATGTTTATGGCAGTTCTCCGAAAGGAGGGTCATGTTTGTCAACTCTAGTGCATCAATCAAAATGGAGTAGTGGACTGGGACTTCAGAAAATCTACTAAATCTACTCTGTTCAGCAATTCAGCTGCTGTTATTTGTAATTTTATGCATTTGTATTCAAGAGCATCCTTCAATAAAAACCAAGTCTAAAACCAGCTACAGTCTAATGGTAATCAAACAACCAAGCCTTGCAACTGAGATGTTGCAAACATTTTAGAAAATTAGCCAATGCTTCTTTATTAATAAGTGACAGAAAGTAAAAAGTACATTCAAAAATAGTTTCAAAACCAATTTCTAAAGCAGACACACCAAAAAAGAATCATGCTACTCTGAATGCTTTTTTTTTTTTTTTTAAACCATTAAAAGAACATTAGGTGAGCTAATGCAACAGCTGGCTGTGCTACCGCTTCCACAGTATAATCCATAATGGTAAAAGCAGCTTTTTCAGGCATTTTAGTGCAATTTATGCTGTTTACAGGTCTTTTTTTGTGCATTCTCCTATAGTTTAATGTCAATTGATGTTACTTTAGCTTACAAAATCCCCGCTAAGTCAAGACAGCTCCACTTAGCAGTAACTTTGTTTCCTTTCAGGGCTAATATCAAAGCAGTTGTTTTGAATCCCAAAATGATAAATATCTAATAGAAGCCTGAAGCTATTCTGGTGCTATACAATTGGTGATGTATAATTGAACATTAAGTAATCCAAGTAATAGAAGTCATAGGTCAGCTGTCTCTCCTCCTTAGACAATTCCTTTAAGTATTGCCTCACTACTTCTGCACTTGTTCTCTCATCAGAGGAATGTCTGTCTTTGAATTTAGGAAACTTCAGATCAGCTGGAGCACCTACCAGCTGCAAAAAGTAATTGGCATCTTCTTCCAGGGTTTCAAACTTTCCTATAAAATCATAGTTGATGAGGCAGGGATAGCAGAGCTTACTGACTTGCTCCCAATGAATGTCCATTCCTACTGGGCGATGGGAATCTAACAAATACTGGATAAACTCCTTGAACTTAACTCCTGATCCTGTTTTCAATGACTCTTCATTTGCATTATGTCTATACTTCTTAATTATTGCCTTCCCAAATACTGGATGGTAATAGCTGTTTGGATGTTCAAACTTATCCCTGAAGGCAGATACCAGTCTTTCCATAGGATCACGTACAAATATAGTTTTGGTGTAGGTGTTCAAGCGTGTGAATATCCCTTTTAGGTCATAACTGTCCAGTTTCCTTAGATGCTTTCCATAGTGCACATCATCGTGGGAAATGTTGTGTGCTGAAGTGGCGAGTCCATTGAGCACCATGAGGACCCTTTTCCAATTGGAGCAGCCTGCTTTCGGCACTTCGCAGTACAGGACCTTGTGCCTGTCCTCCACATAAATTCTTGACACCAGGTGCACGAGGTGGGTCTGCAGCTTCTTTCTGCTGTTGTATTTCTTACAGAAGTCATGCAGGAAGGACCTGCGCTTTTCCTGGGCACTATCCACATCCTTCCACTTGCCACCTTTGACTAATGTCTTGTTTAAAGGGTGCAGCGTGGGAGGTAAATATACCCCTCTGAAGTGGCTGAGAGCTGACTCACTCATCTTCTGCTGGTCAGACAGCTGGCTCACCAAGGAGGCAGCCACCACACCAAAAGGATCAGCCTTGCCCCGCCAGTTCTTGCCACCTGCGGCAGCCATCTCTCGCTTACTGAGGCCAGGAGGAGCACTGCTGTTCCACGCTGCTCTCCTTGTCATCCCTGGAGGTGAGAGTATGAAATCCTGCAAACAAGGAAAGGAGCAGAGCTTACAATGCAGCACGAGCCCAGCCCAGCCTTCACATTGCAACAGCAGCAAGGATGGTGGTGTGCACTCATGACCAAGCCGCATTTAGTACTACAAAGGCTCTTCTGAACCACTCGGTCAAGACAGCTAATTTAGCAACAAGCTGGGCTAATTACTGAAATACATGCTTCTGAAGCTTACCTGTTAGCACACTGTAGGTCTTCCGAGAAAAACAAATAGCTTAAACCACACCTTTCAAGAAATCAGAATTTCACACAGGGAAGCTGACAGTCCTCGTAGGAGTAGGCCAGGTGCTTCTCTCTACCAAACACATTTTCCGCTGTGACAGCGCTGGTCGAGTTGCACGGGAGCACACTGTCACAGACACATTAATGGCTGCTCCATCTGCTTCCACCACTGACACGGAGCAGGCCTTGTCCCCCAATGGTAGTAGTGGGTAAACCTAGGGCTCCTGACATCAGTGGGCTTGAGTGGGGTGTAGTGACAGATTAAATCCTCCCTCCAAAAAGGTCCTATTCCTGTCCCCCTACAGATAGATCATGGAAGTGTGATGCATTGGACTGCATGCACATAACACGTGTTTGCAACACAGATGCCTGCACCTGAGCTAGCTGCTTTCACAGCTGATAGGGCAAAATAGGTCCTTTAGAGCCTAGTCCATCTCACTTATTTAAACATCAACATTAAAGACATCAACTAACTAAACATCAACTAGTGACCCTGCAAAGAATGTGAAAAGATGAGACTTTCCTCCCAAACATGTCTTTTAATGTCCCCACCCACTGTGCAGTCCACAAGCTGCAGAAACAGCAAAGCCTGGACTATGTTTTGCCATCAAATTCTTCAGTGTCTTGTGTCATGCAAGTTGACTGAAGTTTCTTGCAGTTTGGGTATTTCTGCTCTCTCATTCCAAAGTGGATTCTCACGTGTCTACTAAGACTTGTAGATTTTTTTCTCTTGTCAATAGGCAAGCCTGCTTCACTGGGACATCTATACAGCTGCCTATTTTCATTACACTTCTGGAGGGGGGGGGGGGGTGCTGGTTTCTAACCATCCTGTTGCAAATACCAGATAGCCAAATGGTTAGCTAGACACTCATGCACAGACTGCCTGACTGCTTTCATAAGTTGAACTTTTTTGGAAACCTACATAAAAAGACACTTCTGCCATAAACTGATTAAACATTTACTATAAAGTTGATTTGTGGACTGGCAGACTATAAATGTGAATTTGGAGGGATGGGAAAGTTCACAGGCCAACTCAAATAAGGTTGTTAAAAATTCAGAGGAATAATTTAAGAAATGGTAATGCATGGAACACAATTTGAATTCCAGTTTTAAATAACCCCTCTGGAAAAACAAGCAGTTCCAAGAAAAGTTAGTCTATCTTGCAGTGTAATAATTTCCAATGACAAAAACAAAACTGGGGGATCAGGCTCTTCTGTATTGCTGCAAATCACTAATGATAAGGTCTTTGTTTTTCACTTGAGTAAAATTATTTTTGTATTGGTGAAAGCAAATAAAAGAACAGAGCCATGCAGGACTTGTACATCTGTGAAAGAGGGCATGTTACATTCTTAGAGATGCCAAAGGGTACTCGAATTCTTTCAGTTTGATGTGGTCAGTTTTTCTAATATAATTTATTTTTTAAATTCCATTGTGTAATGTTTAATTTTGTAAAACAACTGAAATACATGTGCCTAGAGACTTATCCCTTCTGCCCTAGGACAGAAAGAATTCAGGAGCATAGTTAGTGTGTAATAACAGAAGGTAGTACTCATAGTAAAACAGGGGATGACTACGAGCCTGATGGGAATTTCAGCATCACAGTGAATGGTGACTTACAAGTGCTACTGCAGAACTACAGACTTACAAATAAATTAAATGCCTTTGTCACGTCCCACTCAGACAAGGAGACAAGTGACTCAGATTCTCAGCCCTGACCCTAAAAATGTGAAAATGAAAAATACGGGATACATAGAAATCAACCACACAGTACCAGGCTCAACAGAAGTAGGACTAAAGTTACACTACAATGCTAAAGTAACCAAAGACTGTAAACTCATCGCTGCAGCTGTGGGGAATGTTATAATTTAGAAGACAGTTTCCAGTGATACATGACTGTACTGGTGTTCCCCAACGCAGATAAAATTCAAGAGAGGGCAGCAGTACCTCATGACTTCCTATGGTATGTAAGATGAATTTAGGAGTCTATTTCAGGAGGTATTTCAGTGCAAAGACACTTAAACCATCTGAATTTCAACCCAATGCCACTAAACTGAGCTCTACACTTCAGAAGAAATTCAGCCTGTAGTCCTGAACTAGTGGAAGATGCCTCTGTTCCACCAGGTCAGGAGGGAAAAGGACAGACTGAAAGGTGTGTGGTCTTGATTTTGTTCCATTTCAAACAGTCTGCCTGGGATCTAGGACCAACCTCAGGAGATAACCCAAGAAGCTGTGAATGCAACTGTAGGAACCACGACTGAAAGATTTTTTCACTGGATTAAAGAATTCAGAGAAGGATTATTCAGAGAAATCTCAGGTAACACCCTAAAGGAACAACATATGCACAGTGGGAATCACTTGAAAGGGGTTCCCTCCAAGCAAGATGAAGCAAAAGAAGAATCTATCAGGGAAAAAAAGCCCCAAACATAAGGGGAAAAAAAAAAAAAAGACCTAGTGGAAAAACAATGACACGGGAAGTTCTGAGGACAAAAAAATTATCTAAATATGTAAAATACTATTAGTTGCTTCCCCTCTCCACTTCCCCTTCTCATTGAGATACATATCCCATAGTGAATACAACAGTATTGTGCAATAAATGTTATTATAAGCTCGATGAGGGATAGTGTGCTTGCAGTAAATGCTGGCTGTAACTTTGTCTAAGAATGGGAATGAGTGGTGATAATTTTCAAAGGCTTTATATTGACATAGAAGTTTTCCAACCCACCCACAAAAAAAAAAAAAACAACCAAAAACCAACCTTCCTAAATACTTGCATGAGTAACTAGGTTAGTAGCTAGTACTGGTGAGGCAAATGAAGGGATGAATCAAGCTTTACTTTTGATGAGAAATGTTTAACTAGAAAGTTTTCTTGGGAAACTAACAGAAATTGTTGACTAGATAGTGCCATATTTCTTAAGCAAAACGACCTGACAGTCTGGCATATTTAGCTCTATCACTCTTATGTGCATGACAGAGCTGAATACCACACACTCTGAAAGGATCTTAATGTTTTATGATACTAGGCTTACAAAGTGAGATGCCTTCTTTGGATTCCTCTTGGTGCCAATGACTTTTCAATGCCCATTTTATGACACTTTAAAGATCTGAACATCTCTATGTTATGCTGATTTTTTTCACAGTGGGAACAGGAAAAGAAGAAAGTTGCAAAAGCGATAAATTTTTTTAAAAAATAATTGTCCAATTATATACAGTGCACCGCACAAGCTGCTGAGCATCATTATTTTAGAAAATGCCTGAATGTACACCAACAGGCAACAAACGGGTAATCCCACACCGGTCACTAACTCTGGATCCAGATCTTCCCAAGCAAACAGTCCTTACCAGACTATTTGAGACAAATGTCCAAGTGCAGGGATGGCCATTCATGGCTTTCCAAAGAGCTGCTAAGTTTGGGAACCAGCTGCCTGGCATGTGAGATGAACTCCATGGTCACCTTGGAGAGATGCAAAGCTGTCCTTGAGACATGCTGACAACCTATGCAGCAGATTGTGTACATTTCATCCAAGAAATAAAATCCAGTGACCTGTTGCAATTATGTGCAAGTGACGTTGCTAGCAATTACACAGAGTGCCTTATTCTCCGTTTGCATTATCACATTTGAAAGCAAGTTAAGAAATGGCCATATGTACAATTTAGAAGGGTATGCACATCGCCTCTGTCTCCCTTTAGCTAGGCAGGAACTGAAGACAGATTTAAAAATTAGTTTAAATACAAGGAAAAAAAAAGCAATTTAAGAGAGTGTTAGTGTGGTTGGCTACTGGCAGGCAACTCAGTGAAGCTGTTGAAACAAAAGGCATTTATGTATCATTAGTGAGTTCATGGATTTTTTTTGACATTTTTATTGCTGGAGACTCCCTGCTCCTCCACATCCACAAAAGGGATTCTCTTCACAGTAAAAATAAGTAGCCAATACCTTTTATACACACATTTAAGCTGTCCTTTCCTTTAATACCTTCACAAGCCACTGAGGTAGAAGAGATCGACTGTTGCCAAGAATGGTTAAGACTTATCCAATTATGCTTTGTGGTGGTTTTACAATGCACGGGTGGGATCTCATGTAGACAGTTTGCAATTAGAGCAACCCACCATGCAAAAAGATAATGATGTATTGGAAAGGATATTATTCTGAGGCGGATTTACAAAGATTTAATGGCCTGCAGTGCACACAGTGCTGTGTTTCCCAAATGCTTTAGTGCTGGATCTTCATTTTTACTAATAAGAATAATAAAATTAAGTGAGCCCAACAGAAAGCGTAGGACAAAGAATAGTTGAAGAAAGAAATATTCTGTTTTATTGTGCTTTCCTGTGCGGCCAAGTGACTACATCCTAAGTATCAGTAACGTATGTTTGGTTAACATCTAGATAATGTGTCTTCTGTCCTAAGACATGCTTCCTGAAATAGTCCTCTAAGATGCTTCTTATGAACAACTGCATGAAATCACCTGGGAGCCTACTGTGTTCTGCTTTTTACTGTGGCTTGCACTTGACTGTTGAAGGTTTGTGTGACCTGAAGGCCCTCTCAGCACTATTATACTAAATAGCTAATATGGGTGCTCTTCAAACATGTGGATATTCAGAGATGATAAAAATATCATTCCTTAGGACAAGAACAGGTTGAAAAACTTTTTTGCAGATCAAACTTAGTAAAAGCAATTATATATAAGGACAGTGCATTTTTGTTTTCTGATCAACCCAGGCAGGGTTTCTGCAGTACATACAGAAACTCATGAG